TAAACAGCATATTTATTTATTTTTCTTTTACAGGCCTGAATATTCGAGAATTCTTAAAGAAAAATCTGCGCTCTCCAGTCGGTAGACGGAAATAAATAATTATACTGTTTAATAAATAAACGGGGCGTCTACTAAAATATGAGTATCCATTAAAAATAACGTTTAAAGTGATATGTCTATGTATTACACTAAATGGTACTTTTATGGATACATGCGTTTGAGAAGACAGCCTGTTTGTATTAATTTCAAAAAGTGAATTAAGTTTCCTAATATGTTTATGCATTCGAGAGGCGTAAACTAAAGAAAGCATATTTTCTTTATAAGTATGATTCCTTTTTAATTCATGCTATTGTAAAGTGTGTGTATATATATATATATATATATATATATATATATATATATATATATATATATCTCCTGGTATTGTAAAGTGTGTGTGTATATATATATATACACACACACACACATTATAATAACATTATAATGTGCGCACACACATATTTTACAATAGCAGGATTTTTTATATATACACACACAAATATTACAATAGTATATATATATATATATATATATATATATATATATGTGTGTGTGTGTGTGAAGGAGGCTTATACTTAACATCAGGAGCTGAAGTTTCTGGAACATATGAGGAAGGAGTGCCTGGTGAATCTGATACTCACCAGTCGAATAGAGGGGAAAGAGAGAGACAAGAGTAAAATAACGCTTGATATATCGGGCGGGCTTAAGCAAATGGATAGCAGAACGTGGTCTGGGGGAGGAAGCAGAAGGAACTTGTTGAGATCTGCAAGGGAAATGGAGAGCAGTGATCGCCTACGTCCTAAAAGGACATGGCACATAAAAAGATAGAATTTTATACTTAGTTCAAATCATCGCTTAAGATACAAAAGACAGCAAAGTAAATGGGTGCTATTTAAGGATTGATAAAATATTTGGAATTAAATGAACGCCCTCTTGATGTTATATAACATTGTAGTCATACAAAGAATAAATCAATAAAGCTAATGTAATTATTGGCGAAATCACTTCGCTAACAGATTAAATAAGGCCTTAACTTACTAATCACTTTTTGAACGACGCGATCCTTTTTTTTTTATTTGTTTTTTTTTTTTTTTTTTTTAAATAACATCCATGCCTGAAGATGACAGAAGTGCTATCAAAAGTACTACAATATTGGCTAATCCTCCAATCAATTTTACAGTTTTTAAAATAAGGATCGAGTGGTTAGTGAGATAATGCTTTATTTAATCTGTTAGCGAAGTGATTTCGCTATTAATTACATTAACTTTACTAATTTATTCTTTGTATGGCTACTTCTTTACAATATTAACTAAACTGCACTATTTAATATATATATATATATATATATATATATATATAAGGTGTGTGTGTGTAAACCTAAAGCGTTTACAATAAGAAATAATGTCGGATTAAAAACAAATTCCTGATATATTATTACTTAAAACGTTATTTTTAGTTGTTACCCGCGTTTGCGTAGACGCCCAGTTTTTTGTAAACAGTATTTATTATATTTAGCAATCTGCGAACTCTAAAAAAACTATAAAAACGTACACCCTCCTCAGATCTTTATATCTGAGTAGTCTAAAGCACACTGTATCAGATTTTTTTTTTCTACAAAGGGAGACGCACGTTCAAACCCTGCCGGAGATTTCTTGAGTGAGAGGCCGAAGGCCCGTAGACATAATACCCAGTTTTTAAAAAAAAAAAAAAGACATCAACTCGAACACTGGTATCCACTAATGTTTGAAGTAATAAAATAGATAAACCAAGAGATTTGTTTTATCTTTCTTTTAAACCCCGTCTTTCTTTCCAAATTTGGTTGTCCTCACTTTTACCCTTGACCCACTTCTTTGTTGAATAAATATTGGGTGGAGCTTGAAGCTTCCAGTGTCAGATGGATGAGTATCAACATCTGACCTAATGCTCGGTCAAAAGGTGAAGTAGGAATTAAATTCTGTCTGTGATTCTCTGTTGCCATCTTTTTACAAGGTTTCATGACTAAATAAAGCATCAGTTCTCGCAGTCACTAGTTTTACATCAGATAGAATAATGAAACTGATATCAAAATGAAGTAAATATATATCCTTCCATAATCGCCATTTTGTTCTACACAGTTTTCCAAATATTTTATCCACTTTTTCATTTTGATAATGAAGAAAGTTTCTGGTTTAGCTCTAATTGCACGCAGTAACTTCAGTGTTAGCATCTGATGAAAACTGTTGACCTTTCAATGTCTCTTTCAGTATTGGGGACAACCAGAATTTTGTTGGTTCCACATCGAGGCTGTATGGAGGGTGTGCAATGACTGAATTTCAAACTTCTCAGCATGTTAATTGCAATATGACCTTGCATTGTTCATGCAGAAAATGTCTCCTTTCAGGCTTTATTCTGTGGATCCATTGACTGCGCGCTTACAGGTCATTTTTTTTTTTGCTTTCTTATATCTTTGAAATTTGATTGGCGTTCAAACTTTTAGTATAAATTTCTATTTCTGTGTCTGTCTTACGCTTTATATAAGAATGAATTGAAAACTTCTCAACTCAATCCACTTACCAAATCTTAAAGGGGGAAAAAAGAAAAATGAATCAAACATCAAGATATAATAGCCTATAGAATTAATGTTCTGGTTTTTGAATTTCATGGCATCGTAATTGTGAATTCAATCACTGTAATCCTGTAATAGTTGAGTGGAAACAAAACTAACAATAACCGAGCAGTACTAAATAACAAAACGAGATAATCCCTAGAATTAGATTAATTATTATAATCTATTCTTGTTGATTAAAAGGTTCAGTTCGAAATTTTCTGATGGTTACTTGGATTGACAGACACCTGAAGAAAGCCAGAGAGAATAACAGTCGAAACGTTGTTATATATGATAATAATTGCAAACATGTAAATAATACCTCATCCTAAAAATTTGGAAAGAAGTTAGTATTATTTATTTACTTAGGGCTTCTTAGTTCCGAGAACTTTTCAACGCCTCATATTGCCTGGTTATACCATATTTTGCTGCTTACAAGACTGATTTTTGTTCTTATAAAATATATCCAAAAACCACATTGAGTCCTATAAATCGAAGGTCGATGACGGGAGTTATAAGTTTGGTATGTGGAATGAGTTATTAGTGAGGACTTCTTAATATGCCGTGTCCCTTCAAGACGTAGGCGATCATGGCTCGCCACAACTTTCTGTCCCTTGTAGCTCTTAATTTTGTTTTTCTATTATTTCTCCTAAACCCTGTTCCTCCATACTCAAGCTCACTAAGTATGTTATGCGTTGTTTTCCTCTGTCTTTCTTGCCTTCAGTCTATCCTGTGGGTATTACATTTTCCACGCCCTCTTTTCTTATGTGGCCTAGAAACCTCAACTGTCTCTTCCTGATAAGTATAAGTTTCTTGTTTTTTCCCATTTTTTTTTCTAAAACTTTGTCGTGTTCGGACCATGGTAAGAAAACTTCACTAAAAACAAGGAAAAAAAGTACTAAAGTGTTATGTCATATCCTCATGTATGGCAGTGAGTACTGGACAGTCTCCTCAAAGATGAAGATTTTTGAAGCAACAAAAATATGGTTCTACAGGAGTATATATTCTAAATAGTTACCATAAATTTGGTATGATTAGCCAGGTTTTCATGCTGAAATATGCTATTCAGTGGGTAAAATTGGAGATATTGGGGAGGGCTATGTAGTACAAGGGAAAATGTTTTACCGATTTCTTCCTTCAAAATTTGGAGGGATCGTCTCATGCATTGGAGCGTTTTGTAAGCAGCGAAATATTCATGTTGAATAAATATTATCCATTATCATTACATTGTGAACTATTTCCTTTTAAATAAACAGGTGAGGGGGCTATGAAATAAATGCGAAGTCTTTCAATTTTTAAAAATTTATTAAATGGATGGATGGGTTCAAATGAAGGTGGGGTATTATTCTTTCTTTTTTTATCAATAGAAAAATAATTAAAAAAATGGGTGTATAAGTGTACTAATGACGACAAAATACCAGCATGGATTGCATCATCTTAACAAAATTATGCTTCCTTCTCGAAATTGAATAGCACAGTGCTCATAACAAGGATATAAACTCCTGTTGGTTAGTTGTTTTTGTTTAGCGGTATATCAGCACCTCTATGGGTTATTTAATGCTGAAATCTAAATATTTTGTACGTAATTTTATTTTATTTTTACTTATTTTAAATAATAATTTTAGTGATCTTGATTAACCTATTGTTGTGTGTGTGGGGGAAGAGGTAGATTCATACCTTTCTCAAGAGTATTTGCGCGTAAGTGAATATTACGAAACCAACTAGAATTGGAACTCTGCTCTCCAATTAACAATTCAGAGCCATTATGTATTACACCACCCGCAACATCCAAGCTTACTGTACCTAGTATTTCCAAGCAGTCACCCATCTAGTTACTGAACAGGTTCGACGTTACTTAACTTCGGTTGGAGTAGGGTTAGATTTTTAAGCTAATAATGGTTTATTGATACTAGTTTTGCTAAATAACCCATAGCTAGGGAGAGATGTGTTGGATTTATATCTAATTAGAAGTTGATAAACAAACATGAATTGTAATGTGAATAAGTTGGGGATCAATCCTATGTTACAATTAATATATAAACTGATCCAACTCTTTGTGGCCACAATACATTTATATTCCAGAGAATGTAATATATATATATATATATATATATATATATATATAAAATATGACATAGCTGTGTAGCATTCGTTTTCTGCAGGTTATTTAAAGCTAGGAAATATTTTTAGATAACAATCGTTTATTGATACGTCTTACTAATTAACCCATAGATGGGGGAACAAGAGGTGGATACATAGCTTTCTCAAGAGTATTTGCGCGTAAGTGAATATAACGAACCCAACTAGAATTGGAACTCGGCCCTCCAATTAACAATTTAGAGCCATTATCTATTACACCAACCGCAACATCCAAGCTTACTATACCTAGTATTTCCAAGTGGTCACCCATCTAGTTACTGAACAGGTTCGACGTTACTTAACTTCGGTGATCCTATGGGAACAGGTGTTTCAACGTAATAAGGCCGTAAATCTGTAGACAGTTTCTGCTGTTTCCAATTTTTCCACTTAGTTACACTTCATTATGCCCTCAAGATTGTTTGCAATCATGTCATTTTAATAAATAAAGTGGGGTGTTGGCGGCAAGGAGGTCTGATAATTTACAAGATTTTATGTCAGGTCAACCCTACGAATGCTACTGGTACCATTTAACCACTACTACTTGCTGCATGATCGGGACATCGGTGACTAAACTGACTTCGCGACCAAGCTTTTCTAATGCGGAGGGTAGGTAAACACCCAGAAATCTTAAAAACATGACCTGTCAAAGGTGCACATGAACTTTCTTGTAGGGTCAACGTCCATCTAGCACAGTGGGATAGACTGGGCCTCCACAGATATGCATGCAATCAGTGTGCTTATGACACTGCATAACTGAGTGATAGGCTTCCTAGACTGAAGTCAACGTCCAGGGCAAAGGTTTCCTCTGATAGGTGAGCCTACATATCGGAGGATATTAGCTGTAGTTTGACCCGGAGAAAAATGGGCTCTGTCCGTTCTACTTACTAAAGACTTGCTATGCATGAATGAATCTCTCTCCAGCTTTCAAAGGGACTGGTCAAGTGTTCAGTTGTACAGCGATCAAACGACCACACTGGGTCATGGGATGGTTAACGATGAAGAAGCATACCCATGCTCCGTTTATTCTTGAGGCAAGTGTAATCACGTTTGACCAGGGCTTTATGCAATAACTTCAGGATATCTACCGACCGCCGCCGTCGGGTAGCTGTTTCCCGAGACGAGACTCTGCCCTTCGACATAGACTTGTCCGGCTGCAGAGATTTTGACCAGCACAACTGGAGACGAATCTCCAACTGCAGGATATCTACCAACCGCCCCACGCGGTCAGATGTGGCATAAGGCCGAATTTAATGTGGAGGGTATCCGAGCCCCTAGGCTCGACCAAAATTTCCCCAATAAATAAAACGGGGTCGGGTAGTTGTTTCTCCGAGACGAGACTCTGCCCTACGACATAGCCTCGTAGGTAGAGAGTTTGACCAGCACAGCTGGAGACGAATCTCTAACCGCAGACCCTATACAATAACTTCAAATATGTTTCTATTTTCACTATCCTATTAACATGGTACATTCTTGCAAAGTTGCAGATACATTAGATTTTGGTTGCAGGGACATGCGACATTACTGTAACGCTGCAATCGACCATTTTCCTAACCCAGCATTGACTGCTCATCACCAATGGTGTCATAACGTCATGAAGTGCTGTAGCTTCAAAATTCCGTGTTGGTCAGATAGAAACAGAATAATTTTTCTTCATTTAAGAATATAATGATTTTCTAAGCGTAGCTTAGATGTGGCACAAGGCTGAATGAATGTATCACTCAGTGAGAATCGAACTCACTACTCAGTCGTAATTGATCTCGCAAGACAAGCTTACTAATCATTACAATACATCGAGGTGGCCTTCACTTAACAATATGTATAAAAAATATAACATTTTTTGTTTTTCTTAATTGAGAGTGATGAATACAGATTCTAATATTTCTCGAGTTTATTGTCCATTTTATGTTAATGTAACGTTACAAGGCAACGTATTTTATAAAGTTAAGGACCCGTTGAGGAGAGGGGACAAGAGTTGGTAAACTGCTAATTAACCTTGAAGAAACATTGTAAAAAAAAAATTCATTTTCTTACCTGAATATCTTCAGTAAGATACAACGAAATACAGGGTGACCAAAGAAAAACCGGGAATTTTTGAAGTGCGTATTGCCAGACATGAGCAAGTGGCAACACTGCGAGACAGTGACCTTGAGCAACTAAACATTTCGGCATTTAGAATTCAATATGAAATTCACAGTATCCCAGCTGAGATGTTGCAGCAATCAATGAGGAATCTCAACGGCAGATTTCAAGAATGCATTCGTACAGGAGGACGCAATCTACAGGACGTAATTTTTAAAAAATGAAAATTCCATCATTGTTTCTTAAATGGCATATTTTAAGATTTCAATTACTATGAATAAAATATTTTTCCTTCATCACTCTTGGTGTTATTGGATTGTTAAATAATTCCCGTTTTTTGGGGTCACCCTATTCACCCGTTTTATAATTCATTGAAATAAATCTAATTCATTTTTAATGATCTAGGACATCCCGTTTTTTTTTTTGTTTTTTTATTTTTAAGATCCACTTCATAAATAATTATGTTAATGGTGCAAAAGGTTGTAGCTGAAAAATCCAACATGGCCCAGTGTATAAAAGCGTTGGTTGAATAATCCAAAAAGTGACTTGACCAAAGAGTTGTGAGTCCAATACATGGCCATAGCAGAAGGAGCAGAAACTTGGAGAGTTGCGTTACTGAAGGGAATTAACTGAAAGTGAGATATCCTTTAAAAAAAAAAAAAAAAAAGCACGGACCGTGAAATTAGAGCAATCTACCCCCGTCAACTAAATAAAGGATTCGGTTCGAAATTCCGACGTATTTCACCTGAAGAAGGCCGGAATGTACAACGACCGAAGCATCGTGAATTTGCCAATAAAGATGAGGACAACAGTCCGAACGATGTAAGTAGTGTAAGGAGTTCTAACAGTTTAGGGGGCAAAATATTTGAAATATATAGTTTCCCAAGTAGATTTCTTTTCACGCTATTTACATTATTCGGACTATTGTCCTCATCTTTGTCGCCATGTTTATCACAACGTTTTAGCCTTTTTTAGCTGGTTGGAATGTCGAACTGTTTCGCTCCCTGCGTTAGTTAGATCCAGTGACAGGACTGAGTGTGTTCAATACCCGGTTAAGACAGTGGAGAACTTTCAGAGGAGAATTAACAGGAGATAATTGACATCCATTAGACATGGCACGTGGAACTAGAACAGTTTATTCCAGTGAGCGAAATAAAGGGTTCATTTCAACATTCCAACCACCTGAAGAAGACCGGAATGTACAACGACCGAAACATGGTGATAAAGATGAGGACAATAATCCGAATAATGTAAATAGCGCTCATAATACCTAATCTCAGAAATATAGATAGATTTTTTTCATATATCCTGCTTTTGCGAGTGAAATTTTGGATAAGTCCAAGGCAGGAAACACACTTGACAAATTCCGAAATAACGGCCAGGTTACCTTGGAATGATTCTTCCCAAATGATCTAATAGACTACAGAATGATGTATACATATATACTGGTGAAGTTTTTTGTTTGTTTTTTATTGCTTGGTTCAAGTAAAAATTGTTATAAAACGCAACTAAAGAAAATGGGACGTTGGGTTGGTTTGACAACTCCTTTCAATACCTCATAAATAATAGACTTTTCCGTTTCGATTGCGTAGAAAAACAGTCATTCGCTAGTTGGTTTGAGCTCAAATAATTAACGATGTGACAGGGTAATTTCTATTGTCATTGAACTCGCCATGAGTTTCTGCTTATTCAACCATTTACTGAAGAAATTAAAATTCATCGAAAAATTAAAATCGGAAAACTGAAATATTCACTTGTCTTTCTAGTTCATATTTTCTGCTGAATTTCTTCTGAATGTTTAGCCTGGATTTAAACTCCCACAAGTAGATATTTTACATGCCTCACCCACGCCCAGAAAGATTAAGATAACCCTTAACTACATCCAGCAATTTTTTTTTATTAATTTGAACTGAAAATACTTCGTTGGATTTTTTTTTATATATGCCGTAAACGAAAACACTTCCATTTTGGTGGCGATTGCTGCTGCTGCTGTTGTTGTCAGTTGGCCGGTTGGTTATTTTTAACATCAAGTTCCCACAATCTACTTTGAAGAATGGGTGGACCTCATAGTTTCTCAGTTGCCAGGTCAGAATGTTTGCGCCATTGACCTCTCTCTACTTTCCTAGCTTGACTGGTTGATGTGACTGGCCAAGTGGCTGAGGAGAAAGACTTCACATCGTCCACTTGTCAGCTGAAACTTTTACACATCAGACCACTCATCCTCGCAACAGGAAGTCCATGACTGCCGCCCTTTCCACTACTACTATTGTGTGTGTGTGTGCTCTTTTTCTTTTGAGCAGAAAAATTAAAAATAAGTAAATGAAATATTAACATTTGGCAAAGTGGTTTGGGGTTTCGTGAATTTAGACGGAGGGGTAAAAAAATATTCAGTGAAGCATTTGAAAAGATTCACTTTAAGTCTTAAACAACTAAAAAGCATGTTACATGAATGTGCACAAAAACAAAGGAAAAAGAATGAGAAAATTCGACTCCCTTTTTAAAGAACTAATTAATATAATCATAAACGCTATAAAAATGAATTTCATAAAATTATGTGAGTGAGTGGGGTATTATGTAAAAAAAAAAAATTACCAAGATTTTCTAAAATAAAAATGAAAAATAACTTGTGAATAAGTCCTGAAAGTTTCATTAAAATCCGATAATTATCTGATTTTTGCAAGAATTTCCAAATTAATGTTTTTTTTTTGGTTTTTTTTTCACCGAAAAAAGACGCCAAAATATCCCATACTAAAACATTTTTTGAACTAAGTCTTAAAGTTTCTTACAAAGATTAAAAATATAATTCAGTAATAATTTAAAAAAAAAATCCTTTGCTCTTTCTTCTTAAAAATTTAAGTTTGGGGAACTTTTTTCGCTATGTATGCTCATTTTTAGTGAATCTTTGTAGTTATCAACAAAGGTATTTTTATGCTTAATTTTAAAAGATGATAATTTAACACTTTTTTTAGATGATAAAAATAAGGGGTGGGGAGGGAAATAAAACAAATGTTAAATTTTTAATAGATTGATTCTCTTTGAAGCAGTCTATGCACCGTTTTTGACGCTTCTTTTTTAGAAGAGAGCATGCGGACATACTACTGTCTTCTTTATTGTTCTATCAATTTACTTTGCAACCAAACACTTCATATGCAGGAATCTGTGCGACAGATCTAGCACTCGACATTATTTCTAAAAACAAAAGTAAAAAAAAAGATGTACATCTCTGACTCCGTCATAACAGCAATAAAAATTAAAACAAAACTGTTGGTG